TCATATGTACATATTTTTTAAAACAGATTCAGAATATGTTTACAAAATTCTAATTGTTACATAGAGGTTATAGTTGCAACACTGTATAGCATATACACTACTTTTATAATTTCTATAATATATTAAACAATTGACATAAACATTTTCATAGAAGATTAAATTTTATTAAATGATATTTTATTTTGTTTGTAATAAATACTTATGTAAATAAATATCAAAAAGTATAGAAATTTATGTCACAATAGACTGACGAGAATGATAGGAACATGAATGCGTTTCTCGAACGACGTTATAAAACAAAAAATTTGTGCATTTGCATTAATATTAATGCATTTGATGTTTTAAATAATAGTGGCTTATTATATGAAAGATTTACTTTAACATAATTTTACTGTCACAACATGAGTAATTATATGAGGTCTATGATATTTAAAAAGGTATGCTCAGTTTTATTAAGTTCGTTTTCTATTTTAAATAATTTGAAATGAAAATCTAGTATGGGATTAATTTGAATTTCAGTTTTAAAATTCACTTTTATAATTTTGCACAATATTTCTTGTATATTGTTTCTTTGTTTGCATTTAAACAATTCGTAGTATACATAGGTTATGAAATTTAATCCATGCCGGTTATTTCAATTATTTTAAAATTATAATTAATATCAATAACATATTTATTTGTTACACATTCTTATATTACAATAGATTGCATTTAAAAATATTATATAAATCTATAAGATGTTAAAATTTTGAAGAAATACAATTCTGAAACTAATGGAAATTACTTTATTTTAGGTTATAAAACCGCTGCAAAATATAGACAATGCATATCAACATAAAATTATGTCTAATTTAAATGTCAAATTTAATAGCATAGGTGGTATATATTCTTTTGAATTACTTTTAAAATCGAATGATTATGATATAACAAATGAAGTTGAAAGCATTATAAAAAATGATGTAAGAGACACTTTTGATAATATTACAGTAAAAGATAATACTGTATATTTTGGTATACAAAGAGATAAATATGTGAAAAAAATTTTAGAAAATAATTTGGTTGGAGTAACACCACCATTACTTGTAGACAATAGTAAAAATATTATAATAGAATTTAGTTCACCAAATATTGCAAAACCTTTTCATTTAGGGCATTTGCGTTCTACGGTCATAGGAAACTGTATTTCTAATGTAAATACTTTTCTACAAAATGAAGTTACAAAAGTAAATTATTTAGGAGATTGGGGTACACAATTTGGTTATATTCAGTTAGGAATAGAAATGTCAAATACTGATAATATGGAACTGCAAACAGATCCTATTAAAACATTGTATAAAGTTTATGTTGAAGCTAATAAGTTAGCTACATGTAACCCAGAAATACATGAACGTGCTAAAGAAATATTTAAGAACTTAGAATTAGGAGATAGTGTGAATTATAATAATTGGAAAACAATTAAGAATTTTACTGCTGTAGAATTAGAAAAAACTTATAAAAGAATAGGTGTAGTTTTTGATAAGTATGATTGGGAGTCTCTATATACTAGTAAAAACATAAATAAAATGATTAATTTAATGGAAGAAATGCAATTATTAACATTAGATGATGTTAACAGAAAAGTAGTATCTGTTAGTGAAGAGAGAAGTATTCCAATTATAAAAAGTGATGGTACAACTTTATACCTAACTAGAGATATTGCTGCAGCTATTGATAGATTTGAGAAAAACAAATTTGATGCTATGTACTATGTTGTGGATTATAGTCAATCAGATCATTTTTCTAATTTGATTACAATTTTAAATAAAATGAAACTACCTTGGGTAGACAGATTAAAACATGTCAAGTTTGGAAGAGTACATGGTATGAGTACAAGAAAAGGTACAGCAGTATTTTTAGAAGACATTTTAAATGAAGCAAAAGAAAAAATGAAACAAAGACAATTAGCAACAAAGAGTAAGTTTATTTTGTCTATAGTTACAAATAGCATATACTTGAAACAAAAGTAACAATTATCTAAATTTAATTGATTTAAGTTAATTTTTGAATATTTAGTCAGTTATGAATATTCAGTTATCAATTATGAACATTTTATCATTTAAAACTAAAGTATTCTAAATCATTATATTTAGCAACTAAAATTCCTTTAAATGAAATGGATGTGATTTCTGATATTTTGGGAGTTTCTGGTATAATTATTCACAACTTGAAACAAAATAGAATGCATAATTATGAATTCAATTGGAACACAATGCTTGATGTAAGTTGTCTAGGAAAATTTAAATCTCCTATTAGGTATTTCAAAACTTTTTGTAAGGAGTAACTAATATGTTTCAACATTAGTTAAAAGGTGATACTGGAATAAAATTGCAATATACTCATTGCCGCTTATGCAGTTTAAAAGAGCTATCTGGTGCTACATTAGTAGGAGAATGCGATCCAAGTCTTTTAAAGGAATTACAAGTGGATACTTTAATTACATTAATCAGTCAATTTGATGAAGTAGTACTTAAATGCTATGAAGAATTAGAACCATGTACATTAACAATATATCTTTTTCATTTAAGGTCAGCATGAATATATTAAATAGGTAGCATTAAAATTTACTAACTTTATAGTATTTTTATTTATAATAGTTAAATTTTTTTTGTAGTAAGGCAATTAATTTAGCCTTCAAGAATTTGCGAATAAAAGGTGAATCAAATGACTTAGGAAATCAAAGATTACTATTATTTCATGTAGCAAAAATAACACTTGCTCAAGGTATGAAATTACTTGGTTTAACACCCTTGGAAAAAATGTAAAGAAAAAATATAATTTTAGACATGTATATGATGAATATAGATATTTAAATAATATATTGTACTTGTGTATTTAATATGTAGTTCTTTTAATGTATTTATTGTTTATTAAAGCACATGGAAAAGGTTATAATTAACAAAT